AGGAAATGGCCAACCACTCCAGTGTCTCTGCCAAGAAAACCCCAAACAGAGTCGTGAAGAGCTGGACACAACTGAAGTGTCTGAGCAACAACACCTCCTTACTCTTTGGGGTACGTGGGGTGTTCAGGGAGGACGAGCGCCTCTGATGTGAGGGCTGCTCATCCGCCTTTGGCGTCCACCTTTTGCCTTTCACCTATGACTCCAAGAAGCTGTAGCATGCACAGCAGTCACACCCTGGTAAAACCGTCTCAGCAGATGGGCCAAACCAAGTAAGGAGAACCGACAGGCTTCAGATCCATCAGTGAGTTAGAGGGACACCTACCCCAAGCATGTGAAGACAGAATGGCGGATGAGAACAGTTTGTTCCGACGGCCGCGGAGGCGTCTGAAGCGGGCACTGTGGAGCAGTTAGAGCTTGGTTAGACATTAAAGATGCCAAAGTCATCCCCTGTATCCCAGGCTGCATTGACTTTGATGACTAGAAGAGAGAGTGAGGCTGAGGACTGTTCACAGCTCTACTTCACTTAAATCTAGTTCATGCACAAGTCAAGGTGTGATGTCATTGGTCCTCTTTGAAGTGAAGGATGAACAACTCATCCACTTCCATCAAAGCTTTAAAAGATCTGTGACTGCACCGAGGAAGGCCATCCCTCTGGAAGGCCGAAGAGACAACAGCTCTTCCACTCAGGAGCAGACAGACTCATCATTCCTCCCCTTTTGGGCCCACTTTGCCCTTAGCTCAGGTGATCCTTAGATAGATAACTACAGGGTCTGCACTCAGGGCCTTTAAGGACTGGTCACATCTTCTGTAGCTTGCGAAACATGGGTCATAGCCTTCTAGAATCTAAGGTCACCTTCAGGTCAAGGGGCCTCTTCCTCCATTATTACAACTACTAGTAGTAGCCATGGAGCATTTCTGAAAGGCGACAATCAGAGGGCAATGCAGGAGAATACACTTGAAACCAGGGAAGCCCATCCATTTGAAGGTCTGTTGGTCTAGAAAAAAGGTGTTGAAATCCCTATCAATATATGTGCTTCTGCATCTGTGCTCTCATTACCTTGACTTTTGTCTATAGTTGTATATTTTTTGGTCGGAGGAATAGAGTCATTAGCATGGGGTGACAGGAACTGAGCCTCATCTTTCATAACACTTGGGAGGCGAGCTCTTGGCCCCTCACCTCTCATTGAGACTTTCCAAGCCTGGCTAGTTCCTGGTAGGAAAAAAAATCCCAACAAAAGAAACTCAGCCCTATGTAAGCAAAGGTGAACTCATGTTTCCTTCTCCTGTCTTCTGTCTTGGCGTGCTTCCAACTAATGCTAAGTAAATAAGTTTGAGAGATAAAATGTTGGGACATCGCCCAAAGAAGATTCAGGAGTAGCATTTTGTGCACTGCTTCATGAGGTCTTTGTACTGTACACGTTAGGAATGGAAGCACCCTAAGAAAAGAGTTTTGCTAGCAGTGCTTTCCTCTCTAACATCTTATGTAGGGAATGTGTAAAGTTCTATAATTTTGCTCTTGTGTGGCGATCAGGCCCTTCCCTTCCTCCTCACTGAGGAGATAGCTCGAAGCTTCCCAAAGCACTATGCAAATTCTTGGCTCTCCCTTCCGCCCTCATTTGCCTTTCCTGACGGTTTGCCCAGCTGGCACTAGAGCCAGTAGAGCTAGGGCAGACCTAGCAGTCAGGCTGGTCACCCAGAGTACCCTCCAGCCTTCTTGAGAGGCATCCTGCTGCCGGGGAAAGAAACATTGAGGACATCTCTGGAAGGGCCCCTTTTGGGGAAACCCTCCCCATGAGCCCAAACCTGAGCTTCATTTAAGAGACTGACCTTAGGGATGTGTGGTGGGGGCTGGGGTGCAATGAGCCAGGGACAGTGAGAAAAATAGGGTCACCCTCTTTAGAAGCCAGATTCCTCTAAGAATGAGCCCAGTCAATGGGAGGCCAGAGCCGGGTCTTCTTAGTAGGAGAGAAGGCCCAACCCGCGCCCCCTCCTCCCCACCCCTGTGGGATATGGATTGACTAGTTTGCATTTTAAAGATTGCTTTGAAGGTTCAAAGGTATAGGACTCTGGGTGTGTATAGTGTGTGGGTAAGTCTGACATATTTGCAATGGATCTAACACACACACGTGCACACACACATACACACACGTGCCACACACACACACACACACACACACATACACACACCCCAGCCCATGAGTGTTTTAAGGCCCTCCATGGTCTGTTTCTCACCCTCTACTTCCTACAGTCTACATTCCAACCAAACTGACAGTCTACTTACGATTCCCTGAATTGGACACTCTGTTTCCCACCTCTATCCATTTGTACGGACCATCCCCCACACCTAGGATTCACTCCTTTCCCATCACTGTTTCCCAAATCCCTGTCTTCGTTCAAAGTTCAGTTCAGGTGCCCTTTCTTCCTTTAAGCCTTCCCTCGTCCCCACCATTATTAATTTTCTCCTTTCTTCATTTTCCTTCTGTCAGACTTTCCTACATAAATGTTTGATTCTCTACCCTCCCCCATTAACAATAAAATGTCTGGGCCAGAGGGGCTGGGCACTTACTGAGGAGCCCTTGGCCTGTAAAGAGAGGGCTCCGGCTCCTTGTCTAAAATCACTCAAGGCTTCTATCTTGGGTCTCCCCAAAAGAGAGTAAAAAGGTAGTCAATGTACAATATAGATCAGAAATAGGACAGTCATTTATTTCCTTCCTACAAGAAATGCTTAAAATACAAAAGACTCGTGAATATGTACTGACTTGGAACATGAAACATGAACCCAAGCTTCCATTATACTCTTCTAAAGACACTCAAAAGATTAAAACCCGAGATACTCAGTGGGACCATTGAAGAATCGCTTCTTCACCTCAGCTCTGCACTGTCCAAACAACTAGGTTGTCTAAGCCTCGGGCTCATCCTGTCTGCCGAGAAGTGTCATGGTAACAGTCTGGAGCCCCTTCCTCAGCATAGGGAGACCTTGCTTAGGACCCAGGAGCTCCCACGCTCATGAGATCATGCGATTGGCATCCTGGCTGGGAACAAAAGGGAAAGCAAAGCAGAAGAGATGGCCTTTAGAACAGGACTGAGCCTCTCCTAGCTAAGCATGCCACAGGGGAGCAGCCTTCGCATAGGCATCGGGGGCTGAGGGGGTTCTTCCCCTCCCATTCTGTAGAGAGGAAGTCAAGGGGAGCACTAGGGACCTCTCCCATTGGAGTCCCCAAGGGCTTTGTTCTTCTTCCCTCTGGGCCCTTTCCTCCCTCTTTGACTCAGGGAGCCCGTAGGCACCATCATGGCCCCAAAGAACCAATGAGGGGACTGTGTCACCAGCCTGGAAGACAAGTTCTCTAGGGTAGAGCCACAGGCATCCCTGCAAATGTTTAACACAGAGCCTTGCATTGCCTGTTTTTCTTTTTTAAAATTAAACTTTATTTCTTAATGAATGAAAACCTATTTTCTCCCTCCCAATTACTTCCTGGGGAAAAAAAGAAAAAAAATCACTTAAATACACTGCATGGGGTAGGAGTTGGGGGGTAGGGGAGCTTGGACTTGTGGTTTCATTGATCTATAGAACTCCCGGTAAGGAAAGTCCCTCCACCAACACAACTCCATACCTGCTCAGCAATTTCCTCGTAAAGGTCTCATAAAGCTATCCGATTCAAGAAGGGGCTGGCTGGCTGGCCGGCCAAGACAACCATTTACCCACTAAGGACCGCCAAGCACCCTTCCCTCAGGGACACAGCCTAGTACTCTGCTCTGAGACAGTGACTCAGAGAGGCTCTGCCCTCAGGGGCCTGAGAACTAGAAAACCAGGATCCTTTCTGAACTGCCCTGACATCAGACATTTCAGCCTACTTAGATTTTGTTTCCGACGTGTTTTTGTATTCTCTTTCCAACTGAAGTAAGTTTCTGGAGGGCAGGACATCTTGTCCTTTTTCTGAATCAGCCACAGGGCCTAACCCACTGCAGAGTGTCGCTGTTGAGCGGAACCACAGCCTGTGCCTTGATTTTTCTTCCAATCAGGGGTTTCCACCCCCTGGGGTAGCAGGAGGGGTAGTGAAAAGATGCCCGGGCTTTGGAGGTGTGGTATTAGCAGTTAGTACTAGTAAATGCCAAGTGTTCCATCTTAAAGAATTCTTTAATGGTCGGAAGACTCTCTCCACAGGAGGTGTTTGGGAAGTCCTCAGGGACGAGAAGAGTGGAAGGAAAGAGCCTTAGCTTAGAGAACTTAAATTTAGAGAGGCTTCGAAGGTCACCTAATTTAGCCCTCTCATTTTACAGTTGAGGAAACCGAGGCCTGATGAGGCCAAGTGACTTGCTCAAAGTCACACAGACATAAGGCAGCAGACAGAATCGGAACCCAGAGCTCTGACTCCAAATTCAGGATTCTTTCAGAAGACCTGGTTCTTTCCAATGACGTCTGGTACCTGTTTTCGCTCATCGGCTGACTGCCTGGGTGACCTTTGGCAGATCGCCAGACCTCTCTGGGCCTCTTTTCCTTCGTCTTTGAAACGATCAGGTTGGACTAGATGATCTGTTAGGTCCCCTCTAGCTCAGAAATCCGAGGATCCCAAGCTCCTTAACCTTGATAGGTCTCACTTTCCCAATCTGCAACATGAGGGGGATCGACCAGCTGGTTTTTCCATCCCTGGTTTCTTAAGCGGGGATGGAGCTCAGTTTTCCACTGTACAAAATGACAGTATTGGACTAGGTGGTTCGTCGGTCCCGTAATTGGTGGTATTGGGTGCCTCAGTTTCCCCAGCAGTAAAGGAAAAGGGCTGGCCTAGGGACTCTCTAGTGTGACCCCTATGATGCCAGCGCCGAAGGGTCAGTGAGCTGATAGTCCGCGCTGGAGCTGAGGGGCCGAAGCCTGGTTGGGCGCCGCCCCACAGTCCCCACCCTCTAACTCCCCCCTAGTCTCCTTCCCCTTAGCCCGGGGACCACGCCCGGGACGCCCCCGGGCGGGTGGAGAGGAGGGCGTCGCAGGAGAGGCAGGAGGGAGGAGAAGGGGGGGGGAAGAAGGGAAGGAGAAGGAGGAGGAAGCAGCGGCGGAGGAGGGAAGCCTTTGGGGGTTGGTCAAGGGAAGTGCGACGTGTCTCCCCAGCCTTTTTAAAGCTCCTTCCCCGCCGCCTGCCCGGCTTCCTTCCGTCGGTTCGCCAGTCCTTCCCTCTTCGGGGACCGAGAGTCCGGCCGCCGGTCCTGCCAGCCCGCTCTGTGCCCGTCCCTCCGTCTCCGCTGCCGCCGCCTCCCTTGACCACCCGCAGCATGTCTGGGATCAAGAAGCAAAAGACGGTAGGACCTGGCACAGCCACCCCTTGGGCAGCCCTGGGCCAGGATCGGGGCCGGCTTGAGGCGAGCTGAGCAGGGCTGTCCGGGCCCGGGCCCCTTCCCACGCCCCGCCCCCCTGCCAACGGCTCCCACCAATTCCTTCCTCCCCAGGCACCTCGTGCCCCCCGCCAGCAGCTCCCCCAACTCCTTCCTCGCGGGCGCTCTTCTTGGGCTTCCCGACTCTGCCCGGCAGAGTAGGCGGAGAGGGAGAGAGGGAGGGAGGCAGCGAGGCGCCCAGGTTCGTTAGGCAGGTTTTCCAGGGAAAGGTTTTGTGAGTTCTCTCGCTCGTTTTCATCAACTTGCTGTCCTCATCTTCCTCCTCACCAGACCCCTCAGTTTTCAGAGGAAGAAACTGAGGCCCAGAGAAGGGACGTGACAGCCAAAGTTCCACAGCGAGGAAGCGGGTCAGAGAGGGGAGTTAACCCAATCCCGGGCTTCTGCCTTCCAGTCTGGTGCTCTTTCTCTGGAGCCTAGGAAGCCTGTTTAAGTTGCCTCGAGAAGAAAAATCCCCTTCACTTAGCGGAACCAAGGTTTGGGCAGCTAACTTGCGGGAAGAGTCCAGCCGACAGGCTGGAGTGGGGCCAGGCCGCTGGTTGGGACATGGATGGGCCCGGATGAGGGGCTGGCTCCCCTAGGTGAAGAGCAGACCCTTGAAGCCCCATCTCTTCCAGGGGACCTGCTCACACCGAGCTCTGCCTGCACACTAAAGACGCCCCAAACAGCACTTTGTCCTGAATTGTCGGGTTCCCCTTGTTTTGCTGGAGTTCATACTGAGTACTGAGGGGCTTCTGCACACAGCTGTGGCTGATCTTTTCAAAGGATCTTTCTGAAAAGTTCTAGGGCTAGGGACTGGGCCTGAGATTTCACTCTCACAGGGAACTCCCAGGTGAGGAAAGTCCCTCCACCAACACAGGCCAGCAGCACCTCCCCTGTGATTTAAAGGTTTAGAATTGGCTAGATCACATGGGTGTCAAGCTCAAATGGAAATGGGGTCACCAAATCGCACACGAGGCTCTTTGCTGGTGCAAATTGACTTAGAAAACCACACAACTGTGTTGTATTTTCTGTTTATTTATTTTTTAGTATGTTTCACAATTATGTTTTCATCTGGTTTGGGCCGTGTGCAACCCAAGGCCACAAGTTTACATAACACTCTGGTCTAGAACATTGAGAGGTTTAAGGTGACTCATCCAGGATCACTCGGCCATCGAATGCCAAACTTGGCTTTCAGGCTGGCACTCTGTTATCCACTGTGTTATGCTGGAATGCCAAGGGACCTTTCTAACCCTCTTATTTTTCATGATTTCATTGGAGGCTTAATAGGGGACTGGTCTTAGATTATCTCCTGCTCCTAAGTAGAAAAATAGACTGTGGGGGAGCTGGGCCTTGTTCTTCTCCTACTCTGGTCCATTTCTTTGCTGAGGTCATTGTATTTTAAATGACAGCAGGAATTCAAAGACAGCCCCAGAGGAGGAATGGAGGGATGGAGGGAGAGACAGACACAGAGATAGAGAGACCCAGAGACAGACAGAGAGAGAGGGAGGAGACAGAGAGAAAGGGGTGGGGGGGAGAGACAGAGACAGAGACAGACAGACAGAGAGAGAGAAAAGAGAGAGGGGGGGAGACAGACTGACCCAGAGATAGAGGGAGACAAAGAGAGGGGAGAGAAACACAGAGATTTGAATTTACTGCTTCTTGCTTGGACAGATAATTTTTCCAGCCCATACTCATTTAGATTCAATTTAATAAGCATTTATTAGGCCCCTATTATGCCGAGTTCCGAGGATACACAGACCCAAATGGAACAGTCTTGGCCCACTCAAATAGGGAATGTAGCACATACTCCCAGAAGTGAAGACAAAGTAATGGTGGTGAGGATGAGGGAATGGTGATAGCAAATGAGATCAGGGCAGGCTTCCTGTGAGAGGTAGCTCCAGTTTCCACAACGTGCAGGAAAGAAGGGATACAGCCAGAGCAAAGCTTGCTCGCTCAAGAATTGTGCATGACCTGCTTAAATGTGAAATATGATTAAAAAAAAAAAGGCATGGGTTATTGGTGCTTGTGATTGCTAAATGAAAAGACACCTAATGGTTACAGAATCTTAGATTTTGGCCAGGACCTGGGAGGCCTTGTCCCAAGTCACCTGAGCAGGGGTGGCCTCCCCGGGGCTCCAAACCCAGGCTTTCCCCCCTAGAATTCGACATCACAGTATGCGCTCCAAATGCTCCCTTGTATGGCCTGTGGGTCTGAGGCTTTCCATGGACTCTGTCACTAAACAGTGGTTCCTAACCCTGCCCTCAGGTGAGGATGGAGTAATGATAGGCCCCGGAGAGGAGAGTCCCTCTGGCCGGGCTGAGCTGAACAAGCCCTGAGGCGGCAGCTTCAATCCGGGTTGGGGGTGGAGAGGAGAGTTGGGTTGGCAGTTTGGGACTCCTCGCTGAGGGCTTTTAGGAGTGAGGCCCGTTCCTGGGAAGGGCTTAAGCATTAGAGAGAATGGGGGCTTGGGTGGAGATGGGACAGTAGGGTAAAGACTTATAAACTGGAGACTGTCCATGTAATTTGTTTTTTTAATCTACAAATATTCTGCAAACACTTTGCTTGTATTCCATGGGATCATAAGATATGGAGCTGGACAGGACATGGGGAATTGGCTGGTCTCGCTTCTTCATTTGGACCGATAAGGAAAATGAGGCCCAGAAAGCCTTCATCATCATCTCTCCCCTCCTGGACCTTCCCCTGGGGCCTGGGGCCTGGGGCCTGGGGCCTCCTTCCTTTTGTGAGGCCCACTGCTCCCATTTAGAAATTCCTCAGGGATTCTGTGCAAGGGCCCAGGCTGTTCTTTCTTTTCTTCTTGGCCCCGTCCCCAGCCTTCGGACCTCAATGCCAGGCTCCCATACTAGGTCCCTGCATCCTCAACCCCCCCCCCAGCTCCCTCTTGTGTGCTGAAGCTCCTTGTGGGCAGGGATTCTTCTGTTTGTATTTCAGCACTTAGCCCAGTACCTGGCACATCCTAAGTGCTTCCTAACACAGGCTGCCTTCCCCTCCCTCCAAAGCCAGCATCTGGCCCTCAGCATCACATGGTCTCTCCTAAACACCACCTGGAGATCCAGGTGAACTTCTTCTTATCACTGAGGAAGTTCTATTCATCCCCTCCCAAAGCCTGTTCCCACTCCAGCGTGTGCAGAGCATTTGTGCTGCCGGACGTTTGGACCAGACAGCATTGGCTTCTCTGCTCAGGAGCGATTTGAAGGCCAACTGGCTGGTCTTTGGATCCTTTATTTCTAGACCTTAACCTGTTTTTTTTTTTTTTGTTTTGAATAAGGTTAAAATTTAACAAACACACACAAAAAAGCTGACACTAAATGAACACGAGATCCACAAAATGTACATGCATATATATTTAAATCCATAAAATTCTCATCAACATTTCAGTTAATTGAGGAATAGCCAAAGGGCAGAGATAAGCTGGCCGCTCCTTCCTGGGGCAAGTAGCAGGAGTAGTTTAGGGCTAACTCTGCACATGGCCAGCCCAGGACTGGAAGCTAGGTGTGTCTTCTCGGGAATCTTTTATGGCCAGAAAAAATTCACGGAATTTTCAGCATTTCCAGACAATCCTGTCCACGTGTCCATTCGGTCAGTCCTCTAACTTAGGAACAGTCAACTACCACTGAATAGGGATGGTGTAAAAGGCATTGGTGCTCAGACCGGATGGCCTCTCGGGACCCTAACTGCCCTAAGCCTGGGATCCTGGCGACTGGCTTCTGACCTTCCCAAATTCGACAAGCCGCTTGCATGCTCTAAATGAACAAAGACTCTCCTTCAGGTCTTAGGTTTGACTTCAGATCATTGCCCGTTAGTGTATCGTGCTTTTGCCCTTTTAAACCAAGCGGAACATGACAAAAGGAGGGGCGTGACGTCTCCTAGACCTCAGGTTCTGTTACTGCATCCTCACGAGAGGTTCAAGAAGAAGGGTCAGTGCAATGATCACGTCCAGAAATGACCCTCCCCTTTGTGGAGGGAAGAGGCAAAGTCCTTGCGTGACACCTCCTTTCTCTGCCCTTCATTGTCCTGTTCTGTAAAATGGGATGAGGAGACAGGAGGTGGGTAACATGCTTCATCACTGGGCCTCTGTCATTGCATTGATCAGTTATAAAGTCTTTCAAGGTGGTTTTATGTGTGGATGTTGCCGTTGTGCGCTGCTCACATCACTCTACGTCAGTCCATGCAATTCTTCCCAGGTTTCTTTGAAACCCTTTCATCATTTTCTTATGGAGCTATGACGTTCTGCCACATCTCTATACCACAGTTAATTCAGCCGTTCCCCAGTAGATGGGCACACGCTTAGTTCCCAGTTCTTTGCCACCATGAAAAAGAGCTCTTATAATCATTTTGGCATGTGTGAGTACTTTTCCTCTTATGGGTCTTGACCTCTTTGGGGTATTTGCCTCCTAGTAGTACTGCTCAGTCAAAGAGTGTGCACAGTTTAGTAACTTTGGGGACATTGCTTTACAGGATGGCTAGATCAGCTTCATCTCTCTCAAGTGCCCAGTTTACCATACCCACCTCCATCTCCCTCACATAACCTCTCATCCTACATTACTGAAACAATCAAGGCCATCCATCATGAACTCCCTCATCTCCCTCCACCATCCCATTTACATCCCACCCAAGTTTTGCTCCAGACTCTGAGGAAGAAGTGGTCCTTCTTCTTGCCAAGGCTAGTTCCTCTTCCCGTGCCTGCAATCTCATTCCCTCCAGTCTCTTCCAGGACCTTGCCCATTTGGTCTTCCCCCTTCCGCTATCCTCAGTATTCCTTTATTGGCAGTTTCCTGGATGCTCAAGTCTGCACCTTCCTTAAGATGCCCCGGACACTTGACCCAGATCATCAGCCTATGTGCCTCTCAATAAAAATGCTCTATACCTACCACCCCTGTATCCTCTCTACTCACTAATTTTTGAACCCA